ATCCATCCATCCATCCATCCATCCATCCATCCATCCATCCATCCATCTATCCATCCTAAAAGCACACCATCTCATTTACTCACTTGTTGTGGAGGAGCTGGTACCTAGCACTCTAAGAGGTTGGGGACAGCCTGGACAAGTCTCCAGTCCATCATAGGGACAGAGACAAACAACTGTCCACTCTCTCACACACACAGGGACAGTGTGTTGAACCCAACATGGAGGTTTTTGGTCTGTGGGAGGGAACCGGAGAACCCGGAGAAAACCCACGGCGAGAACATGTAAACTCCACCCAGAGGGGCCAGGGTGCAGACCCTCACCCTTACACCTCTGACCCCTGCACCACCATGCAACCCAGATTATAAACAGATTTATTTAGATCATTTCAGTCAACACTTCAGTAGTTTTAACCTCTGTGTGGTGGGTTCTGTGTCTGGTCCAAAGATGAAAGTTTATTTTCTTCTTCTGAGCTTTTTCTCTTCTGGTTTGAGAAATCCAGACTTACCGTCCTAATCCAGGTAAAAAATATCCAGATAATTTTAATTTTATGTTTCTGTTTTAGAGATTAGTTAAAGGATCTAAATTGACTAATGGCTGTTTTAGTTTTAAAGAAAGTCTCTGACGTCTAAAAAAAAAGCTTGTTCTTTCATTTGATGTTCTTCATCAGGGCGTTCTCCTGTTCTGTGACTATCAAGCCTCGACCTTTGACCTGTCGAAGCTTCCCAGCCGCCGCTTCGAGGCCATGGACCACTTTGCAAAGTGCTTCCTGATTCTGCGTTTGGAGGGCAGTCGGGTGGACGGGGGTCTCCACAGCGCTGAGGGGGACAGCAGGACGTGGAGGGCTGTCCGTGTGGACTTGGTGTCCCCACCCATGGATCGTTACGCCTTTACTCTTCTGGGCTGGAGCGGCTCCAGGGTACGACAGGTGATACGGACTAAACGACACCGTGGGTTCGTCTTGTCGCATGAGGAAAACACTTTAACGCCAGCCTTTAAACAAAATGAAATCTTTCTCTGACGCGAGGTCCATTTCAGATGATTTAACCAAACGAAGCTCTACAGGCGTCCAGCTTGTTATCAAGATAAAAACGCAGAGTTCATCCTCACGGTGTCATCGGTTGCTTTTTGCAGCAGTTCGAGAGAGACCTGAGACGATTTGCTCGACTGGAGCGGCGGATGCTGCTGGACAACCACGCGCTGTTTGACAAAACCAAGGTAACGTCCGGCTGACGCTCCACAACCACACGGCAGCAGATCGTTTTACCGTTGACTACGAACCCCCTGCAGCTAAAGAGGGCAGGCATTTATTATAAGGCAGTGCATTTAGTTGAGTTAACTGCATCTAAACACAGAGCATCGTAAATCATTTCAGAAGTTTGTTTTTTCTTTTGGAATGAACTGAGCTGTTACAAAACGAAGCAGGAAATGTTCAGGGTTAAAAAAAGCTAAATGTCAGCTGTTCTCCGGTGAGGATCAGCTGTGACCCTGCATGAGCACGACACGCTGGCCTTTGGGACGAACACAATTAACCCCAGTGAGCTGCAAATCAAGGGGGTGTGGCTTAACACCTGTCAATCACTCAACACCTTGAACATCTTTGATCGGGCTACGACAAATGAACGCACTCGGATGGATTCTGTGTTTTCTGTGACTGTTTGTTGCTGTTCCAGATTTTACTGTAACATAAATGTTTGAATTTGAACCTGTTTGATAGAAACATTTTTTTAATCTTTTGTACGGGCCGCCTCTGGTCAGAACTTGTCGCCAAGAGCTAAATGAAAGTTAAAAGATGAGCTGAAACCAACAAAAGTTTTATTTTTCTCTCTCTCTTTTGTTTTATTTTAATAATAAGTCAGTTTAGTACGGTGCCAGTAAAACAGTACAGGTTAAAAACACTTTTTTTAAATAATAAATTTAAACCCATCAATAATTTTAAAAGCAGAGGCAGAAAAACAAACCGTGGTCATGAAGGTGATGTTCAGCAACGTGGGATTTATCAGCTGATAATTCACTAATCTAAAGTTTAAATCAACCAATCCATCAGTTTTCTTGCTCTAACTGCGTTCAAAAAGATAAATGTGCTCCTTAAATGTTATTAGAAGATGGAAGCGCCAACAGAGTTCTGTCTGCCTACGAACGCGGCACCGTTTGGCCTTTCTTCGGGTTTTTATTTAGTCGTTTGTGGATTTCCTTCATTCGTTGACGTCTAGTTTCCTGTTTCTGTCTGGCAGCTTGAAGTTTTGTGGGAGTTTTTTTCTGCTTGTCTTACCCCTGTCAGCTGTCAGTCATCAATCCCCCAGCTGCACTCATTCAGGTAATCGACTCACCCAGGATCGACGCTGAGCTCCGTCTCCCCGTAATCTCTCGCGGTCGCCACTTTACACGTCTTCCTCGTAGTTTTTGTTTCAGTTGATTGTGTTTGTAAGAAAACAACATGTCACGTGTTGTTCTGCACAGGAAGGAGAATCATGTAACTCCAGCGCGCTGACTGCAGCGGAGACATGTTTCTTTACAGAATTTGTGTCCGTGAGTTGCAACAGTAATGTTTATAACGTGTTCAGCCTCAGAAAGGACCGAAGAGTGAAAGATGGTTTTATTCCACATCTGATGCAGACCTTCAGTTATTTGTCAGACTTTTCTCGTCACGTGATGTGATGATATGATTTTTAACCTGTAAAGACTTTTTATGTTTCAATCGGAGGTCGTTAAGAAGTGAGTCAGCCCTTGTATTTTTCACGCGGACGGGAAAACGTCACGTATGACTTCATGTGTTGATGAGGTGGCATGAAATGCTGAATTTAACCGAGGTGCGTTCGTGTTGAACACCAGCTGGAAATGCAGGAGCTGAGCCTTCTTTCATGCAGTGGATGGTGATTTACTGCCTTCAGACTCTGGGAGACACTCCTGAAAGCACAAGTACCTCAGCGTTCCCTTAAAAGGCGTCGACGCGACTGTTCAGCTGACAGACTTATTATGCAGCAAAGAAAAGTTTATGGGACTGACAGGAAGACAACACAAATTCTGGGGAACCATCAATCTTAGTGACAGGCGTCTTCCGGGCTCATGTTTATCCTGAGCTTGCTATTTTATTCATTGCATCCTCCAAGGCGGGCCCGGCTTATTTCTAATGCACGGAGCAGACAGGCGAGCCGACTGAGTCGAGCAGGACAAGGGTGTACGGCGAATCAGCGTGTGGATCGACAGGGAGAAAACCCTGTCACCGCAATGTCCCGTTGGACGCTCTCTGGGGACAGGGGTCAGATCCCTGAGATCTCTGGGTGGCAGCTTCCTGTCAGATATGGTCCGCAGCCAGCCAGCTCAGATGGTGTTTATTCACATGCAAGGGCAGAGACGGGCTGCTGACAGTGCAGCCATCCGTGCACTGGAGCGGAAAGGTGGGGAGTGACACACAAACACAAAGGCTTTCTTGTAGAAATCTTACTTTGTGTGAAAAAATATGCTAAACCCACGATGGAAAGCAGTTCAGAGGAAAAAAGCTGGTCGAGGAAATAAGAACTTTGAAATATGCTTCTAGCATAAAACCATGATTCTGTTTATTTTGAAGTGCACCGACCACACGCTCCACAGCATTGTTGTCAGAAGCATTTATAATGTGTATGTGTGGGGGACACACTGGGGGGGGGGGGGGGGGGGGGGGGGTCTGGGGGTCCTCCCCCTGAAAATGTTGAATAAAGATGCCATTTCCTGCATTCTGGTGTATTTTAACAGGACGTTAAACATCTACGTTTACCTACATAAGGAAACACTTGATTCAATAACTACAGTATTTTAGAGTAGCCTGACCAACAGCCCCCCCCCCCCCCCCCCCCACCCCTCCCGCGCCCCCCACCACCCCCCCCCCCCCCCCCCCCCCCAATTGACAACTGCCAGCATTGACGTAGTGCTACGTTAGTGGAGCATAATACAGACGCGCTAGCTAAGATGCTACAGACGTAGCGCTCCGCTTGTGTCATGCAACCTAACCCCACCCTGGTCAACAACTGCCGGCACTAACGTAGCGCTAAGCTAGTGCACAACACAGAGGGTGTCTCCTCCCCCCTCCCCCGTCCTCCTGCCTCGTCAACAAGAAATAAAACCCTCAGAGATGAGCGCCCTGCCAAGCCGAGTGACCTCGGGGAAACGCTGCACGTGGTGCAGAGTCAGTGTTGCCAGGTGGGAAATGTAGGATTATCGTACTAGAGTTTTAAGTTATCGTGTTTTGAGGGAAATTATCGTCATAGCCAAAATAACGTCTATTGAAGTCACTAGTGTTGAATAGCATCTAACAGGCACTCTCATCTTTGTGGCGTCAGTACGGAATGGATTCATCAGCTGCCCCACAGTTGCGTTAGGCTAATGTGTCCCCCATAAACAATGACGGGTGGGAACTAATGAGCCCCTTCTTCTTCCAGACCGGCTCGGCTTCTTCTTCTTTTCTTTTCCTCACTCATGGGGCGGGCGCAGCGGACTATTCAGCCAATCACGGCCGTTGTTCTGAGGCAAACACGTCACTCGTAGGTAACATTTAGAAAAGCACGAAGCCAATCGTGCATCTGTTTGCGGACACAGATGCCTTCAGGGTTCACAATAAAAAACCCTCCGACCGACAGTTGCGACAAGCTGATTACAACCACACATTCAAGTAATGATCAAATTATCGTATATTTGGCCTTTTTTGGGATTATTGATCGTACAGATGGAAAAATTGTCGTACAAATGCGATAATTATCGTACACCTGGCAACACTGTGTAGAGTTGTTGTTGGTAACCAGGAAAACCTGGAGTGGACTTTTAGTGGTTTGACTTTTCTCCTATTAATCAAGTGGAATGGATTCATTCACGTAGCAATAGAAACAGTGGTGGGTGAACTAATATTTCATTGTAAATGTGTGTGTGTGTGTGTGTGTGTGTGGGGGGGGGGGGGTCCAAATGAATATTTATAAAATGTGGGGGCACATGTCCCCGTCACATATAATTGTTGCGACGCCTATGCTCCAAGGGTCCTAAATCTTCTCAGAGTTAACAGACCAGCAATTATTGAAGGAATCTCATCTTGCACAGAGAGACGCGTTAGTGCCCAGAGTTCATTAGGAATGACTCTCAACTACTACCACTTCAAAACTTTAGTATCTGTGAAACTGACTGAATTATAGTCAGTGTTGTGTTGGTGAAGGTTGATCATCTGTAGCGGCCATCTTGAATTTGAACATCTCCAAAAGGTATTTAGTCTTAGATGTGGAACCTACGATTACTTCCTGGTAGCTTCAATAGAATCTGTTCAGTACGTCAAAAGATATTTTGCTAACAGACAAACTGAGTTGACTCCAAGAGTTAATGGGAATATTTGAAAAACAGATTTTACAAACAGTTAGAGCTTGTAGTATGTGGCAAGGATCAGTCTCAGCTACTACCACACCAAACCGCTGCAAAAAACACGTGAAACTGATTAAGTTTCCCAAGATTAGTTAGCTGTAGCGGCCATCTTGAATTGGATCGACTATGAAAAGTTAACCAGTTGTAAATGAAGGATTAATTTTGAAAGTTTGATTAAAATCCGTCCAGTGGTTCATGATATATTTTGCTAACAGACATAAACAGAAGAGAACCGTCACGTTCATTCTCCACCTTCAAGGTCAGTAGAAATCATTCCTCAGAACATTCAGATGGAACCAAGCAACAGCGTGACCTGTTTTCATCCCCGCTCCACATCACAGTCATAATTAACTTAATGAAGATCAATTAAGTGTCCCGGCGTCCGTCCTGTCGCCGCCTGCACACGACGCCGACCGCTCAAAGTAAAGGTGAGTCCGCTGCTCTCTGCTGATAATTGGTTCAGCGTGTGGCCGAGGACGACGTGATAATTGGGCTTTCATCTTTCTCGTGTCCCTTCTAATTGGCTGGCAGTTTTGACGAGGGTTCCTCGCACCTCATGCGACCGTTGTTGGAGAAACGCTCGTGTCTGATGTCTGATTAAAGGGGAGATCTCAGCTCACGACCAAAGGCGGTCATTTGGAGGACTTTAATCTTGTGGGTTTCTGAGAGACTCTCCGCGGACACCAGCTGGTCTCTGTCTTATTACAAAATGCTTAAAAAAAGATTATACGGCTACAGTGTACTAATGATCTCCTCCCAATTAAGAAGAGGCCCAGGGGAAGTCTTTGAATCACATTAGGAGGGAACTCAACAACTGTCAGTTAGAGTTCAGAGGTGCCAAA